AACATCCTTAAATACCCTCAAAAGAGGGATACTGTAAACTTAATATCCCAACCTGCAACTTTGTGTTGATCTGGAAGTTACTCGTGTTGTAGGACAGCTCTATGAAATTGTTGGTAGACTTGGGACTTGAATTTGCAATAAGTGATTAATAGATTAGAAGGAATTCTGTTTGCAAGTGGTTTGGGTTTCATTTCTTTCAACAGAGTTTTGAGCTCAATTTTCTTGATGTTTCTCTTGGCAGCCAGTATTTGCATGGAACTTTCATTTTCATACAGAAAGAGAAACAGCTGGTAAAATGCATGAATGAATATAGACCTAAGATAACAGGGTCAAGGGTTATCTTTGAGGCTGTGGTTACAAATACTGTGAAAGGTGAATCTGAGACTAGCACTATGCAGCCTCATCCTTTGTGTAAAATACATAATAAGGGGTAAAAAAAAATCTTGCACTGACAGTTTCAATTCTAGGTCAGCCGACACTGGCATTGGGAATATTAATCTGCTCTGGAGCATTTATAGGCAGTCCAGTGGCTGAAGTTGAGACCCTTATCCATGCTGGAGCTGTCTCTGCTTTTACTTGGAGGGGGGTAAGGTCACAGTAGAAGATATTCAACTGCTCTGGACAAAGGCAGTGATTCCTTAGCAGATACACTCAAGTGGCAATAATAAAAGAAGGTTTTCTTGTATAGCCATCTCTGGAAATAGAACCTGGGATTTGGATGCCAAACAGGATTAGGTTTTTGAAGTACGTGCATATTTCTTTCCTTGCAGTGTCTCACAAATAATATAGGTTTATCTGAGGAAAATAGTTGTCCATAACTGTGTTGAATTGCTAGCAGAGTTTAAAGCCCATATAGTTCCAGGGTTTTTTTTCTGTAAATCCTGTGAGGTGGTGGACTTCTAAATGTACATTAGGGATCAAGTTAATTTCCTTCTATGAGTGCTCTCTGGAATAAGATGCAGTTTAGGAGAGTGTTGCCACCTTCCGAGTTTCTTCTGTCCAAGAGATGTCAAGTAGACAACAGATGAAACTCCTCTAATCCTGGAGAAGAGGGTACACATTAGTAAGTGTTCTCACAAGTCACAGTTGTTGGGGCCTAGTATGTGACTGGAGATGCTGAAGCCCAGAGTGGTTTTATGTAGTAGAAATTTCTTAAGTAGTTGACAAAATCCACCTGTGTTATTGAGGAGAAGAAATCTAATAATTTTCCAACTCTTAAAAAATGTTTTTCTAAGCTGTGCTACTCCCTAATTTGTGCTAAGCCACAAACTAAAAAAAGCTCCCCTTAATTTGAGCTG